TCTAGAAAGTAAGTATTATAAAAATATTTTGTGATTTACGAAGCAAACCGTTATTAACGTTCTCTCACCCGTCTGTCTCTCCCAAAGGAACTATTTTTTTCATTTTGAATAACATTGAGATTAAGTAAGCGGTTTATTTGATTTTACTTAAATCAATTGTTTAAAACCATTACAAATGAATCAATACGAAATAATATCAGTTAAGTATATTTTATATTTCCTATCAATAATTCTATAGTTTTCAATCATTTAAATCATTTAATCATCATCATTTAATTTCATCATCTATAGTTAATCAATAATTCTATAGCGCTATTAGAAAATGCCAATAAAATTGAATAAATACATTTTTAACTAAACGATAATAAAAAACAAAAAATGAAAACTTTTTCAATTAGTAAACAAATAATAAAAATAATCTGTACGATCTATTTTTTTAAGTTACGTCTACGTCTAAAGCCATTAAAAGCTTTGTGTTTGGAGTAATCCTCCATTAATCATAATCATCGCCATAATCGTCACGTCTTGTCGTAATCAGTTGTCAATAGGTAGCCAGGTAAACCTCTCCGCGTACGCACCTACGTCCGCCACTCACCTATTTTTCCGCTTATTTTCTTCCATCTCAATTATTTTTCACCGTTTTTCTGCTCCCCCCGAAACTATTTTTTCCCGCGGTACGAGTTGAAACTCCGCTGAAAACAACGGGAATCCCGCCGATCTGACAACCGAATCGTGTCTTTTTAAACTGTACCGTCACACGGGCGCACGACAGATTGGTGTGGCATTTCTGAATACAGAGATTAATATATTAGTTTTAAAATATCGAAACGGAGGACACTTTTCGAGGAAGGACAGGACGTATAAAAGGAGGACTGTTATCCCTAAAGGACGATTGGTCACCTTAGTGAATGCTATATTCATACATTTATTCCGCGTGTAATGGGACGAGAAGTAAGAATTAAATTTCACTTTGATAATGTGTTAATTTCTGCTATAGTATTTCTCTTCTTCCTATTTCTGAATTACTTTTTATTCTAGCACCAATATTAATCAACTTGAGAACGTTATTTCATGATGAAAAGCTTTCTTCAACCTCAGTTGTATCCTATTCATACGTGTGGCGTCTTTGTTCATGATAAAATATGGTCAGATTCAATGCCTTCGCTTTCTTGTAAAGAATAATTTTCAGCTGTAAAAAGATTTATTTCCAATGTATAACCAATAAAGGTTACAAAATTTAATGATAAACCGATGAAGAAAAAAGAGCTGATCGGAAGTTGGCGGTGACACGTTTCCATGGATTCCTTTTAATGATTTATTATTTCTGGTGTTAGAATTATGGTTCATTGTTGTTGTTCGTGTAGGTCAGTATAAGACTATTTCCTTTAAAAGAAAAGAAAATTATATTCTAAGATGAACGCCCAACGACTTTTAAGGTGGGTATTCGTATAAAATGCGTAGGACACACTACAGGATGTTTAATGACAACGCGAGGACAGAAGGCACGAGCCTCGTCCTTAACTCGGACACGCGTAGCGAAACGTCGCAATTCCACATGAAAGAGCGTCGGATGTACTTCTACCACGTTGGTTATAATATTAATTTCTAGAATAAAAAAAAAAGATCTTCAAAAAAATCAAGTTCAGTTTGCATAGTTCAGCCACGTTCACGAACTGATCGTTAACGATATTGTGAATCCACTCTTTACTGGTAAACGAAATTTTTTCTGTAAAAGGAACCGTCACATCGCCAGCTTCCGATTTACTAAGAAAAAGTTTAATTATAAGTGCAACGTAAGTGTACGTTCAACAAATAAAATTTGAATAATTTAAATATTAGACTTGAATTATAACTTGTCATACTTTAGAGCTTTTTGTCTACTTATATTTGACAAATTATATGCCTTACCTTCTGGGCTCTACTGGCATCAATGTGTACTATTTAATTGTTTAGATAGCAAAATATGTATCTCTATACAGTATTTCAGTGAAACATTTGAGTATGTGGACGTTCAGATGTGTTTTTTTGCCATTCCATCACTGGCATCTAGACTACTTCCCGTGCAATAATCGAAACGTATGAGTTGTTACGGGTAACTGTTAGTTTGTTTTTGGAACCCCTTGAAGATTTAAAGAATTTTCCAAAAAATGTGTTTCTTCCTGTTTTGGCGCTGCGATGTTACTAATAATGCCAGGAATTAAATCAATGCGTCCTAAATCGATCTATGAAGGGGGCGTTGATTACATACCAGTATCCAAAGGCATTTTTTTGTTAATTTACCATAGTTTTCTTTCACGACGTTGGCAACACTGATGTTGACATCTTTTAAGTGAATAGAATAGAATCATTAACGCTCTTCTCCCCCTTCTTATACACCATTCTTTACCTATTAAAAGAAAATTAGCAGTCTATTATATTTATATCCGCCCCATCATCACATACGCCCACCCTACTTGGTCTTGCACATCCAATGACAATTGCCTCCTACTGACTCGACTAGAAAACAGACTTATTCGACTTTTCTTCCGACCAGCTTTATACACAAGATTTAATGACATTAGACGACAAAACGACATTCCCCATATTGCAACATATATTTACAATTCCTCCCAAACCATAATTCAAAATTTCCTTAGAGATCCTACCTACAACTTCTTACTTACTTCCCATATTCTTATTATTACAAATCCACCCAGACATAGAACGAAAAAACATCTCCTGGACATACTACAACTTCCCCCACCACCGACTTGACACAGTGAGCCCAGACAAACAGACCAACAAATTATCACCAACTTCTCACTAAAGTCGATTACAAAATTCTAGACATGACAGATAAATAACAAAATCACGAACTACTTGAACTCACGAAAAAACGACTAATATTTTGCCTTCCTTATTTCTGTTTTTCTTACTATCTTCACTTACTTTCTTCCTTTACTAATCTTTCACTTCGCTTATTTCTTCTTTCCTTTCCTTTTCCCTATTACTATATACATAAACAAAATTTTCGAATCAAAATTGCTACCTAATCCCTATCTTGTATGGGGGACGGGTGCTATACTTACATTACGACGAAACAAACTGGCATGAAGAGCTCCAACTGGAGCAGGCATGCTACAACAAACACCCTTCCTTGGTCTTGGTCTTTTAAGTGAGCAATTGAATTATCAAATATATCGCGCTGCAGTTTAATTTCAGTTTAGGGTCGTATTATTATCGTATTTTTAAAAATAAATTGGCGAGTACCTACGAACAGTATTGCCTTGGAACTTATTAAACTTGAAGAATTTCAAGAAAATAGGGAGAAAACAAAACTGTGAGTAATAACTTTTACGTTCTTACATAAGTGTGCAAATACCGATTTTCAAATAAATGTGACCCACAACTTATTCTTATTCAAATTAACTAACACCTTATTGACATAATCATACAAAACAGTCTCCTTGTAATGTTAGATTCGCACGAGACAGTAGATTCGCTTACAAAGCGATTAATAGAGCAATTGCAAAAGTAGAAGTGAGCACTAATTAGACTAGAGTTTGTGAAGTTTTAATCTCTTCAAAAAGTACGGGAGAAAATTATGGAAGTTTTTAATGAATTCGGGGAAAAATCAAATGTAGTTGTGAAAGATGCTGCAATTGAATTTTTTGAAGTAATTGGGAATAATTTGCATTTTTATGTTTAAAATTGGTGCAAATGTAAAAGTGCTATGTGCATTTTTATGCATATTACCAAAAAAGATTATAAATGTATTTGTACTAAAATTTAACTATTAGCATCAAAACCTGCAAGTATTTGTTATAGCGATTATAATTTTTAAATTGCAATAAGACCAGTTCATATTCCGTATGGAAGTTACACACAAGGCCATTGGGTGTTGGGAACATTTGAACGGGAGTACAACATTATCAGCTACTAAGATTCATTGGTAAGTCCCATGCCAGATACTGAAAGAACGTATTTAAACTAAGCATATTTTACATTCAGTAATTTTTATTGCATTTCCATTCTCCCCTAAATTTAACCATCTCCTCCCAACTTTAACTATAACCCAACTTTATTAAATTTTGTTATATTTTATCTTGTAGTTAGTTACTTTAAAGTTGTGTTAAATGTTACCCCAGGCTCCATTTTTTTGTCTGTTCAAATGTTCTATTTGTAACTTTATTTTCTCTAATATTTTCTATAATACTTTCTCTTACATTCGATGAGCACTTTTTTCTCCGACGATGAACATTTCGAAATTCTCTCTTTTTTCCCCATTACGAAAAATCAATGAAACTAACCTTTTTGCCTCAAAGTACAAAGCAGAACCAAAAGAAACAAGGTTGGTTATGGTCACCGACTTGTTCACCAGGGTCCAGCATTGCCAACCAATTCTCGGATGCATTTAGCAGCTGTTTTTAAAGCATTGCTTTAAAAAGGGTGATGAAATGACGAACAAGGCAGGACTTAAAACTGCGCCTGGATGAATTTACTAAGTCATACTTCAAAACCGGTTGTTAAACACAAAATATCGTCGCAATTTACGTTATACTGATTTTTCTTCTCATCAGAATGTGATTTTACTGATTTTCAACGAAACGAATACTGGATCTGTGGGGGAGGAGCAACAAGGCAAGAATTCATTGACTGAAATATTAAATGATCGTAGCAGTACTAATAAGTAAGTTTTTAAATGACATTTTTAATGTAATATTCGTTTTAAAAATTGTTTAATGTGCATTTTAAATGCTTTGTTTGCATTGTTTTGTTTAGATCTCTTAGTCAATGAGCAATTGTCGATTCTTGAAAAAATACATTTTAGTTGAAAACCATCGTCATGAGCTTTTTAAAAAAATTGAGAAAACTGAAGTAGTGATATAAAAGTAGTATTGTGGATTAGTACGATTAAATTAGTAGTCAGACGTAATTTTCGTGTAAAACGAGAAGTGAATTTGTAATTTGTGTTTTGCAAGTTTTTAAATATGTAATACACTAATACGAAGTGATTATACCTTCAAAACTGAAGGAGATGCGTCAGGAGACTCAACCTGCATAATGTGCAACAGAAGTTCTATTTGCAGAGCTTCGTTCTCCATCCTTTCCGACTCAGATTCTTCTTTACCGTTGTCCAGTATCTGCCAACATGTTTTTGATTTACAACATTAATAAAGGACGAGAATATCAATATTTTCAATTATTTCATACAAATTTTCAAGAAACTTATTAGCGGGAGAATGGCAATACTACATGTTCTTTATAAATAGTGCGCAATAAAGACGTTCAGCGCCAAAGCATTATGTAGTGAAAATAAACATTATTTGTAACTTTGAGAAATCAATGTCATTTTATTAAATGCCGGTTCTAATAAAATACATCAAATACTAATTCAAAATATTCAATATTGTTAAACATTATTAATAAGCAATAATAAATTATTTTATTAGTTACGAAGCTCAGACCATTAGGCCTGTTCTTCTGCGTAACCACGTTAAATATTTACATTATTTCATATGCTATAAAGAAAATCGAACGGGGGCAGGAACTTTAGTTTTAATTTTGGGAAGCAAACTGGGGACCCTCCCGGCATATGTCAATTGAATAAATCCAGAAAGCCTCAATCAAAATGGAGGCTGACGGTCGAAGACATTGTAAAAAATAAAAAACTTAAAAATACATTCATTAATTAGAAATAACAATGGTAATAGCAAAATTAAATTAAAACTTATGCAATAAAAGTAAAAAAATTACGCACTGTTATGTAGGACACAGTAGCTGCAACAATTGATAACAATCAAATTGGATAACAAAAAATACTGTACTTTCAACTTCCAATTTCTATATATTTCCAGTCAGATAAATATTATTATATAAAAATCTAGCGGAACAAAATTGAAATTCGCAGATATCGCAGACAAAAGAAATGCAATTCGTACGACAATAAATAATAGTACATAAGCATTATGCAATTATTGAAAACTAAAAACAACCGTCGATTTCTTGCAATTGAGAATCCAAATGACGAACCCAAAGCAAATATACTTTCAAAGTAAAGGCTTCAACGTTACACACATTTAAGACTTACAAATGGGAGAGCATTGTCTATATTCGGAAGAAACCTTTTTTCAGGAAATACGAAACATTTTTGTATCTCAACATGGGTTTATAAAATTTAAGTCTATGAAAAGGGACATTTTACTTTCTCGCGCGTACTAACAGAAAAAGAGAAAGTATTGTATCGTGAGCCGGAAAACCGTGCATTCTCGACACAAAAAACTCTATTGCCGGACCCTGGTAATGAAAAAGTGGATAACTCTAGTTGCTAAATATATAAAAAATTCTCTAACACGTAGTACATCCAGAATCCACGTGTGGGTTTTTGATGCCGAAAAATCGAAACGTCGGTAAAACGTCTGTCAGTCCGTCTGGGCACAAGCTAGCGCATAAACCGTTCAGCCGATTTTCTCATAAATTGATATTTCCCAATCGTTTTAACTGATGTCGCGGCCACTGGAATTTGAAACCGATATTTTTATTTTGGAGGGTACTTAACATGAAAACCCTGGAACATTTGTAAATATAAAAAAAATGGGTCCAAATTTTTCGATTAAATTTTGTTGTTGAGTAGTGCAAAGAACATTCAAGAGAGTGGTGCAGCTCTCATTTTTGTAAACGTCCTAGATTTTTCGAAAATTAAGAAAAAATAATTTCAAATTAGAAGATACAAATTTTGCCTCAAATTATGTTGTACAAAATTAGCTCTTTAAAAAAGGTCCCTATATGCGTTTTTAAAAAAAGGAATAATTTTTTCATAATATGCATGTGAAATTCACGATTTTTCTCCTCAAAAACTGCTCCAAATGTTTTTTAAAATGTTATCCACACATGTAATAAGGGACGGTAATAAAATATGAAGCTATTACCATTTTTGGGTATGGTTCCGTTATGCCAAAAATTACAAAAAAGTCAAAACTAAAAAATTGAAAATAGATTTTAGCCTAAGATAAAGAATTTTTTGTAAAAAATTAGCTCTTTAAAAATGCCATGAATCCTTTTTGTAAAAGTTAATAGTTTTTGCGTAATTTCTGTTTTGAATTATTGAAGCATTATGGGCATCACGTCGGTAACATTGTAATATTGCGAGAAAGTATGTGCTGTCGTAGCACCACTGTTCTTTATCAACGTATCAAAATGGAGAACCTAATGGAATGCTTTTAGATCTTTGAAAAGCTTTTGTCGTCATAACATATTGCTGTGCTGATTGGCACATAACACTATATGACTAACATTTTGCTTTCAGTATTCCCTTTAAATGGAATTTGTGGTATTTATCGAGAATACTGGCACAAAAGAACAGTTGCTATTTATATCTTAGCTACTTGGGGTCCCGAAGACTTAGCTGTTCGGCTCCATCCCCTTGTTTTTATACGGAAACGATATAATCTCGTCCCTTAGAAATGTTTGCTGGTTACACGAACATTCTTTCCAAAAGCGAAACAAGTATTTCATATGATACAAATTAGTTTCGTAATACCTAACTCCTATAAAATTAACAGTAATTGAAAGAAAACTGTTTCAATAACGGTTTTTATTTCAAACACTCATGTGCGTCTTTAAAAATGAACAATAAGCAGTTGGCTTATGTTAAGAAAATGTTCTGGGTCTCTCAATCCAGACAAACCTAAATGGAATACTCATATAAATTAATAGAAGATTTAAGTTCATTATCTTTTGCATTCAAATTCAGGTAGCGTTCTTCCAGCTCGTTGCGTGTAATTTACATTATTTTGCAATATACATTCTCGTCTGTGAGATATAGGATTATATTCTGTCGCTATTGAGCTTCTAATCTTACTGGTGTATACTCGCAGAATATTTAAACCCAGCGCGCCTATTTTCGGGCAGTGTCTACACGTGGCGGAACACTGTTTGGCCTCCAGACAATAGAACCATGATGCAAGGGCAGGCATCATGCATAGTTTATAGAACTCAAGCCGGTGGCAGAGTTCGCGCGCGAGTTCTTTGCACTCGACCACCGTCAAAGCGCAGTAGAGCCGTCTACACATACTACCGCTGTTAGAAAACACACACCTTCCTTCCAATTGCACAGGCCAAGAAGAAAATTTAAAAAGTTTCCTTCACTTTATAAGTGAATATTACTAATTGATAAAAACGAATATGACAAACATTTTTGTTAGCTATTGTTTCTCTGAATCCAATTGATGGATTTTAAAAAAAATTTAACATATTAAGAAAAATATATACATTTTAATATGATGTGTCAAAACATTAAGAGTTCATTTGAATATTTTTAAATTACAGTTACATGTTAAGGGTTTTAAATTGCTGGGGAAATAGTCAAAATACATGATTGCTGGGTTCAAAGAGAATTATATTGTAGGTTCATGATTGATTATTTTGTGATTCCGGGCACATCAGATACGAGGGCCATTAGTCCCGTAAGTGTAGTGCATGTTTTCATCGGGAGATGGCGGTAATCTTCCGTCGCTGTATGGCGAGATCCGGCGTCGACACACCGTCTGCTATCGGGGTTTTTCCCAACCAGGAATCTCCCATCAGTGGGGCACCACCCCAGCCGGGACAAGTTCTAAGCTCCCATCCGGTCTCCCGGGATGTGTGCTTGTGAAGTGCGAGTTAGTGTAAAAGTTTGCATAAGGGGAAAGGATTGAACAAGGAAGAGGTAGGAAAGATTGCGCGCCGTTCATTGTCCATTTGGTAGGGTTCTGCTCCAGCATTTGCTTGGTGTTGATCGGAGAAACCAGGGAAAACTACCGATCAGAGTAGCGGGTCGCTAGAATTCTCGTCCAGATACTCCAGCGACTGAATTCGACCTAGCTGATAAACTAGTGCCGAAAATCCTGTGGTTTATGAGATGGACGTCATTTGGCTTCCCTCTTGTGTGTCCCAGAGCATCTCTACATACAGACGTGTAGTTTTCTAGCATCGCTTCGTTCCAACCACAATCCAGTAATGAAATACCCAGATGGAATCTTTCTCCGTTTTCATCACTGACTGCTCCACAACTACAAGGGGAAAGTCCAAGTGAGAGTGGAGAAAATGGATTTTAAGGGACATGTTGCATCCGGTTTTAAACTTTCTATCCTCTTTCCGTTACACATAAACGACATGCCGTCGTCAATTAAAAACGGAAGAACGGTTCTGTTTGCCGATGACACGAATGTTCTTTGAAAAAAGAAACAATAAAGAGTACGAATTCAGAAGTTTCAAATTGGTTTTGAAATAAATCAATTAATAGTTAACGAAGGAAATTCAGTTTCAATGAACTTTTGATTTCAAATCAGCAATCGCATGCTACATTGAAAATGAACAATTCGCAATTAGCTGATTTTAAGGTAACAAAATATTTAGGTCTCTGAATTCAGTAAAATCTCAAATGGAATGTACATATAACAGAATTAAACCCTTATTTAATTAATAATTATTATTATTATTAACACTAACAAATTAACATTCATTATGTTACTCGTTCCGAACTCTTTCAAATTGTCAGCCTTCATGCAGCTCTTTGCGTGCTGCATGAAGAAATGTGACGCGTGTATTTTGCAAATGTGCATTCCCGCCTAAAATATGGCATACTATTGGGGGAAGATCATTATGCAGTACCTAGATCTTAAAATTGCAAAACAAAATTATTCTAATAATGAAAAAATGCCATCCGTATGATCCCTGAAACCTCTCTTCATTAAGCTTGGAATCTTACCATTGCCTTGCCTATTTAATACGAATTTGTAATATTGGTCAAAACTAACTGACTTAACCGTGGGAAGATATTTTCATGCTGCTATTTATAAATACAGATATTTATAATTACCACACACATTGTAGAAATCATATTCATGAAGTGCTTACTACCAGAAATCTACATACAATACATGTGCGTTAGTTTACAACGCACTGCCAGATGACATTAAACAATGAAAGTTTGCACACAAATTTAAGTTAAAAGTAAAATGTTTTCTGCTGCATAACAATTAGAGACTATACTGATCATTCAAAAGTAAAATGATGTTTATTTTAACAAAATAGTAATATATAATGAAGTAGTTTACCTTTTTTGCTAATTTCCTTAAAAAGACTTAATATGCTTGTAACAAATAATGTTTTTCAGCTTCCGGGTCAATGACCCCCCATTGCGATCAGGTTTTTGTCCAGTTTCCCTGATCCATTGAGCAAATTCTGAGATGGCTCTTTGTTTTGTTTGTGGACGTAAATGTTGCTTCACTTTGCATTACTATTTTGTTAGTAATACAAAAAAATCAAATATCAAGCTCGTTTACTGTTGCAAATAAGTTTTTCTATAACTCGGGAACGAAAATGTCTCGTTTTTGAAATGTTGCTAATCTCGGGCTTTTAAAAATTTTATTATTTATTTATTTATATATTTATTTATTTATATATTTATTTAATATTATATTTTTTATTTATTATATTTATTTTTAATTTATTATTTTATTTTTATTTATTTATTTATTTATTTATTTATTTATTTATCTTTACTTGTTACTCATATTTCAACTACTAATTGTTAAGATGATGGGAAGGGATTCTGGAACTCAAGAAAACGGGCGCAGATGATCTTCCCCATACGTCACATATAGGTTTTACTGTATTTTTTTTTTTTTTAGTAAATAAATCTTAACTGAAAATATAGATTCTAAAAACTGCCAAGTCACTATATCTCGAAAGCAAGGCAAGCAATTTTTCTCCTTTTTGATTTCAACATCTCCACAACTCTAGCTATTATTTTCATCTTTCCTTTGTAAAACGTCCTATGCACCCATTTGGGAGGAATTCAAGGTAACTTCAGTGAAGAACCTTGTATCTCTGCCATTTCTATTATTAATGACATGGTATTTAATTACTGAAACTGTAAACATCACAACTCAAGTTATTTTTTTTACAATATACTGACGCAACATGTCTCCAAACCCCTAGGAGGGCGTTGAGCGCTTGCTAGGAGTAATCGTCCGTTAACATTTTTATAATTATTTTGAATAATCCTCGGTTAATTTGTTGGTCTGCTGTACAGTCTAGTTGAAGTCATTCGTTGAGAGGACCGCCAGGTAGCATCTCCGCGTACGCGCCTCTCTCTTACGCGCTCCTGCGGCCAGAATTGAGAAGGAATTAGGATAGGGTAGGGTTTAGGTCACATCATAGTGGTTGGATCACATCATCAGTGGTTGGATTGCTTCACTAGCCCTTGTGAAGCAGCCAAACTCGTTTTGTCGAACAAATTTCAAATGAGGTCCTTGGTGAAAGGCGAGCGACTTCGCTCTCAGCCACCTAGCCAGCCTGATGCCGCTTCAACCTGCCTGAAGCACAATTCTGATTTTGATTTTCCCGCACCATGTATTAAATGTTGTCAACAGTGGTTGCTGCGACTACTTGCTATTCACGTACATAGTAAAGAGAGGGAAGAGGGCCCAGAGATAAAAAAGTGCGGATATAATATCAACATCTACAAACAACCCGTATAACACACGTACTTTGACTATTCCTTGTACTATGTCAGCTGACACATTAAACAACGAAAATCGATACACAAGTTTAAATGTCAAGTGAGTTCTTTTCTGTTGTACAATTCATTCTACACAATTAGATATAATACTGCAAATACTATATAACACTGTACAGCAAAAAGTAAAAAAAAATATTTTAGAAATAATAGTTAATGAATTAATGATTATTTGTACTACAACAAATTACGTACCAGTTTCCCTCATCCATTGAGTAAGGACGGAGATGGCATCGTGTTTTGCTTCACTATGCGCACATTGAGATAAATGTTGCTTCACACGACTTTAATGCCTTCAATGTACATGATCTTACTGAAAGAACTAATTATAGAGAACAAATTTAATTTGAAGAAAAAGTCTCTTATCTTCAATTTTGTACTTGTAGGAAGACACAGAAAAAATTCAAACATTTGCAATATTCGAAAATTGAGAGTTAACAGTGAAAATCAAACATATGCCACATTTATAAATGTATTTTACTCTATTTTAACAAGAAAATGAAAGAAAACAATTTCATAAAGTTTTGAAAACAATTTGAAAATGTTGGGGGGGGGCTTCATACAATTCCCAAAAATAAATGGATGTTATTATAATTGCTGAAATTCGAGTGAGCCCAAGGGTTTATTCAGTTAGAAAAAAATCGTACCCATAGTTTAGGCGTTAGTGTTGTTCACAGACGATAGACAGATACACGGACGTTTAGAAAAAACCAAAACTTTTTCGGTATCAGAGGACGCCAAAAGATGTATTTGTAAAAGTGCATGATCTTACTGAAATCACTACTTATGAAGAAAAAAGTTATTTTAAGGAAAAATATCTTCAACTTTATAATTGTAGGAAGTCACCGAAATAATTCAAACATTTACAATTATCGAAAATTCAGAGTAATCAGTGAAATTTTGATCTATGGCACCTTTAAAAGGATACTTTACAGTATTATTACAAGAAATTTAAAGAAAAAATGGAGCAATTTTTGGGGAAAAGTTTGCAAAGTTTCTAGAGGCCTTATGTGAAGAACCCCTGGAAATTAATGAATGTTGTCCATTATCGCCGAACTTCGACTCGGACCAGTTCAACACTGGCCTCTTCAGCCTGGAATAATTTCCTACGCATGATATAGGCACTAGTGTTCACATACACCAGACACAGACGGACGGACAGACGGACGAGCCAATAGACAAGTATAAGGACCGATAGACAGTCAGAAGGACCGATAGACAGACAGGACCGACCGACAGACAGAAGGACGACGGCGAAGACATGACAGAAGGATCGACAGACGGACCGACAAACAGACGGACAGACAGACAGACGGACAGACAGACAGACGGCGCGAAATCCGTTTTTCCGTTGAAATCTTCGTATTCTAAAAATACTACGTATTTTGCTTCGTATACACGTACGTATACGAAAAAATAAACATTGGTGTAATTTTGGTGATAGGATTGAAAATAACCTTTAATCTTTATGTAAAATAACCCCATAAAACCAAATATTGGATTCAAATTTAAGAGACCCGCGAGAGCAATCCGAATAAGAAAATAAATAATTTGTGAAAGTTTTCGAAAGGTTTAGTCAGTTGCGTTGTTCACAGACTCGTTTTTCATAAACAATTTTTTCGGTAATATGGACACTAAAAAATTCTGGCCACACAACTAGTGGGATAAGCAATTTATTACTTTAATAAGCAAGATTTAATAACTTTGTGGATATCTGGGCCCACAATACTAATTTGAGTAAAAGTTGCCGCTTTCCGCCGTAACATTACAATACTTCGTCTTTACTTCGTAAGTACGTAGCAGAACAGGAAGTAAAAACCAGTATATAAATATGTTTTTACTAAAATAAATGAAAAATCAAAGCAAATATAATAACATAGAGAAGGTGATGTTGAAATATGAAAAATCAAGATAACAAGGGTTCAAACATATTTCAACATTTACTTATCAAAGTTCCACTGTATTAGTCTGCAAATGGATGACCATTTCTGTCCACTGACCTCATTTTTTGCTTCGCGAACTGTGTGTCGGGCGCCAAATTCTGAAATGAAAGCGCGTAGAAGGTCTGGCGCGGAGTCGAGCAGCACGATTTGGTTCATGCCCTCTGTGCCGACGCCCTCCGCCTCCAGGCGCGCGGCCGCCTCCAGCGCCAGCAGCCCGCCGTACGAGTAGCCCAGCAGCACGTAGCCGTTGGACGTGCCGTCCCCCGCCGCGCCGCGCAGCTGCTCTTTCACGTGCTACGCAGCGAACAAGGGAACAATTTTCCTTCAGAAAACTTGGCAAAACAGTTACAAATCGACATTCTTTATTAACCGGAAAGTGTAAAAGGAAAAATGTTATGTCTGCCATACATCTTTATAATTTTTTTACAACTAAAAAAGATAACAGATTCAAATAGACATTTCTCTCAGATCTACATTAAAAACACTTGGCAGACCCAGGGCACTAAAAACATTTCCAAATAGTCATCTAACAAATGAAAAAAATGTTCTTGTATTCAAAATGGAATATTATAAACCGTTTTCTATAAACAGTGCTGATGTCATCCACGAAATATAAAATTTAGTGTGAAGGAAAATATACAAATTAATGTCGCATACCGGCATTAGGTGATCTGCCACAAGTGATACAGAGGGCTTCACATCGTGGAATGGGAGCTGTAGTGCGACGGATTTTATGCAGAGACCGCGAGACAGTAGTTCCAGAGACTGAGTCACCCCTTCCACGCCCGGAAATGCGATCGCGATGTTGTCTGTAATCAATAATTCGTTAGTTTCGTTCGATGCTAATGGTACAACTGTCTTGGTTGCCGTCAGTTCGTCCACCACAGCGTTTATCAGCTGATGTAGAGTAACCCTGACATGGTTTGTCCTGTCAGGAACCGCGAGAGTGGAGGCGGAGCCGTTAAACCCTGCAGGAGTCCTTTTCGTCTTGGTATTCTTCGTGCGCTGGTACTCGCGCAGGCGGCCGAAGGTGAGCGCGCGCACGTCCTGCGGGCTCAGCAGGATGTCGA